GCTGTTATGTTAAACTTATATTAAAGTTTTTCTTCATTACCCATTCAAGCCGTCTCCAGCCATTATTAGTCCCACAGTATGGTGCCAGAGGGCGGAAATTCCAAATTGTGCTGCAAGGAAATTGGGGAGCAGATATTCCCAAACTGTGCTATTGAGAGGAGAGCTCCAAATTGTGTTGCTAGGATTTGAGCAGTAAGATTATTTATGAAAAGCTTCATCACTGGTGTGGCAAACTTAATATAGAGGCTTCGTTGTGCTGTAAAAAGTTTTTTCATCTCTTTTATTACTTATGGGACGTAAAAGTATGTTAGCAGTGTGCTAGTTATCATAGAAACAAGTTGTATCTAATTAACTCTCCTGTAAACGTGTAAACTATTGGTTTCAATATGGTTATTATTGTATTTCGTACAATTATCTCACTTTCAAGACGTATATAGAAATAAGAACCTAAACTATAGATAGAGATATTTTGTTTACTTTTCTGTCAGTAATTATCCAAGCTTTAGCTCACTTTTAAATAACCATAGCTCTTTCCGCTTTTTAATTCTTATCCATTTAACCAGAATGGTCTTGTTAACTTTCCTGATCACCTTCTCTGAGTATAAGCGTTGTCTGATATTTACATTATTACCTTTCCTTTGTTATAACTGAAAGTGTTATATCTCCCATATATAAAGCTACATTGTTACTTTGATATATAATAAGACGTTTGTGTGCCCTCCCCTCCACACACTTTATGTATGTTATATTTCCTCCCTTGCAAAAGATATAACAACCTTACTTCTCCTGTAGACATCAGTCGTTGAAGCTCTCGGAGTCCAACAGATGTGAAGTGTGAAACCCGGAATTCCGTCTGGTCAAAAATATAGGAGAAACCTTGTTTCTGGGCATTTTCATCATCTAACAGAACCTCAAATGTCGACATATATGCTCGAAATGAATCGCTGGGTTTGTGGCGCTTTGGGTCCATAATACCTGTTAACAGATTTACTACAATATTCAGTAAATTTATTTTTAGTTCTGATCTATGTAGTTCTTTACCTGGATCAGAAGTCGTTTTTACAGTTTATGCAAGTAAATCAATATTGCTAGAAGAAGATCGATTAACTTACAAGTTTGTTTGCTTATGTTCCTCAAAAATTAAAATCAGAAAAGAGAACACACTAGCACCTCAATGGTTTGAAGAAAATATATACATTTTAAAATTAAAAAATATGAATCTTACAACATCGGACTCGTTAAACCGCTATGCATTTCACGGTCCTTTCTATTACTCGGGATAGAGAGATACACTCCACTTGTACACAACTAAAAGCACTGGAAAGCGCTGTTTATGAGTAGTAATGTCTTGCTCTATCATGCAAGATGCCTAACTCATACTTCTCAAAGAAACCAATAAATAATCGTATGCTAATAAGCACTAGTTTTTATTAGCATAAAATTTAAAAAACGTTCTCCTTATAAGGATAAAAAAAGGTCTTTGTCTAGCAGACCAGCCTTTTTCTTTTTATTAAATAGTTTTTTTTTATCTTGCCACAGAAATCAGACGCCTAACCTTATGTGATTACACATAAATATGATTCACCCATGCAGAAGATCCATTGCTGGTCGTTGCTCAAGTTGTAGTTTTTGGTCTATATTAAAAATTCACATCTTGTGTCACTCTACATGTACGGGTTTTGGCTGCTCATCTCCGAAACCAATAAACTATTCTAGATTACTCATACTTTAATTAAATTACTAAACGTCCGTTTTGAATTTATTAATACATGTACGTTGGCTAAGAATTGACGCGAAATAAGCAAGATCCTTAAAGACGTAATTTGAATAAGAAACTTCGTTGTGACGTTAGAAAAATCGTTGGCATAAAATCTAAAATATAATCGTAGTTTTGATCTTAAACTAGGTTATCAATAGAAAAGATGTTAGTAAAATTCTAACGATATATTGGAAATCCTTACCTGCTATTCCAAAGATAACAACACGCCCATGGTGATCTGTCTCAGGAAGCGGAAAAACATACCTTTAAAATACGGAAGAAAAAGACATGCAAACAGATGGTGAATAGCTGTTAACCCAGACGGCTAGCCTTGACACACATTTTACACACTAATACTGAAGGATTTTAACACTTGTAATATCAACTGAATTATGAGTCTACATCCAGTAGAAAAAAAAAATTGTTTGTTTGTTTGAATTTATGCACAAGGCTACACAATGGGCTATCTGTGCTCTGCCCACCACGGGTATCGAAGCCCGGTTTCTAGCGTTGTAAGTCCGCTGATATACCACAGCGAAAAAAGTTACTGGCATGAGCTATATCTATATATATACGAAAATATATTAATAATAAATAATTAATACTAAACTGTTCTGGAACACTATACATTAGTTACAAAATAATCATCAAAACGTCAGACCCAGAAGTATTTATATAAGAAGTATATATATATAAGGCCCAGATACAGAGTTAGCAGTAAAAATAATCTGACGTCACACTAATCGTTACTTTACTGCTTATAATGATGTCTAAGACAACGATCATTCAATCCTACCCATTAGAAAGCAGGTCTAGGACTCCGGGAGTTTCGATATCTAAGAGTTGGAAGCAGTGTGGAAACTTGGTGCGTGCTTTCATGTACTTCTCCAACAGCAACTGCGAGTCGTTAAAGTTAAACTTCCGATGGCGAAGAAACCGAAGAAGGAAACGGTCGTCTGTAAAAATCACTCAAAGTTCAGGGTTTTATTTAGAATAAGGTTAATTGAATAACAAGCAGACACAGAATGATTTCACGGCCAACTTTGAAACAAACAAATTTATTAGAAATTCTAAACCTCTACACTACATGTTCACATTTGAAACAAACTTTCACATCCGTATTCATGTACATCATAAAAATATACCCGTATTTGGCTTTTAAAGTTCATGAAATACAAAAATATAACGTACCTACAAGTTATCATACAATATATGTAATTAGTTAATTAAGGATTATTTAATCTATTACGTGATTATGAAATAATAACTGATAAGTTATGGTTTACTTACAAGTATTGATGGAGAAATAAAACATGAGAAAATCAGGTACAGTTCATCAGATGACTGAAAGGTCTGAATTACTTATTAACCAACAGATGTCAGCAAACTATAATTGAATCACAAGTTTTGTTTGTTGAATTTCGCGCAAAACTACTCGAGGGCTATTTGCGCTAGCCGTCCCACGAGAGACAGTGAAATTCTTCTACTTGGTCAGGCAAGAATAGCCCAAGAGTAGACAGTGGATTCTGTTGATTATCTATCTATTCTATCAGATCACAATCGGGGACGGCTATGAGTAGGTAGCATTGGTGTGGTGTTGTACGAAAATTCTAAACTAACAAACAAAAACCTGATTATATTTAGTTAAGGACGGTCATTAGACAGTAAAATATAGCCATGGAAACATATGGTAGTCTTGATTAAGATTAATTGCTCAACAGGTAGTTGAAATCCATAAATAACAGAAGAATCGTGGACTTTGTTGGTAAGAACGAATTGAAGGGTTTAAGTGATGAACTGAAGAAACAAAATTAGAAACAACCTTCATATATTACCTAAAAAACAAAAGGCAAACTCAATATACTAGTACAATAATATTTATACAGTCAATCAAAAGTAATGGAATAACAACTGGAATTAAAACTGAAAAAAAACTGAATTTGTAACTGAAATGTTTAAAGTAAAAATAACTCGGAAACCGCACAACTGGCCGGCTTGTATATAAATTCACGACTTAACCTGTGGAAATCAATACCAGTAATTAATCTAAGGACCAGCACAAGATCTAGTGATAGAACTATAGGTTTACTATTTGACCAATCAGCTCAGGAGAACTGGTAATTATAATATCTCTGCACCTGGGGCCGGGTGTGTTTAGTAGCTCGAATATTTAGACTATTAACCCAAGGGTTCTAGTTTTACGACCCGTTGCTACAAAAACGTGATCCGAACTTTGAGGCCAAGTCCTACTGGTCGGTCAGGCAAGACTAACCCAAAAGTTAGCAGTAGGTGATATTGCCTAATCAGCAGCGATTACGGTAATGGTATAACAAACGATGATCCCGCAGATTCATAGTCCAGCGTGCTATAAATACTGAGTGGGATAAGAGTATTTAATTAAGGCCATTGGAACGAGTAAGATCGTTGATGGAGAAAATATTTCCAAAGAGAGCTACGGAACAAGAACAACGTTTTCATAAAGTATGATTGACCACTGCATTTCAGAATCATTTTCTCGCAAAACGTTAAAACACTTTAGATGTTGAGAGTTATAATAAACAAACGCATCGTGACGTTTGAAGCGAATCAAAGTCATTTGACTAATAAAAACTTTACAATGATAGTCTCTGCTTGGAGGTACGTAAAATACGTAGAAGAAACTACATGTATAGTGTTATAAAGAGATAGAACTAAGAAAGGTCCTAAGCAAAGTGTTGATTCACGCGACTATTATGAAAAGACGTTCAAGGATAGAAACAAGTATTTGTATTTATGACAATCTTACTAAGGTTATCTGCCATCGTCCCTTGTTTTGAACTACTGTCCAGAGGCTAGGCGCCCTACCACCCACCATCCATGATAAGGGATTAATTTTCACCCTTATTAAACACCCACAACGTAATTCCAAACGGACTAATAGAAATTATAATTAATACAAGAGATTTCACCTCATTCTGGTTAATAATATTAATTCTTTAGTGTTTTATTTAATCACATTTATTAAATTTATTACTTAAAAATTATTCAGTATATCCAATTATTAACATTAACTTTTTAGTGTGTTATTCAATCACACTTAAATTAAAAACACCAAAAATTAATTTTGTTACC